TTAAAGGGGAACTGAAGCCTAAAATTGGTATATTGTTTGCATTCATTTCTAGTTAGCTTTAGAGGAGTAAGATAAAGTGTCGATATTCATTTTCGTTCACTTCTTGTTTTTTACGAGAAAATTCGATTTGAAGTTGCCTTTTTCCCGCTTTTGGGGCTGTAAGACCGTCGGCTCAAAATAGGTCAGCAGCGGTCGTTTATGACGTCAGTGGTGGGGAACCAACTTAAGAAAAACAACTGTTACTATTTCATTTTCGTAGTTAATCCCCATTACAAGTCACGCAACTTCGATAACTCCATAACCAAACCAAATTTCTGTAGGAAGAGTACGGGTTTATTATCTTTCTTCCCCACCAGTGACGTAAGAGCGAGCTAAAATGACCGCTAACATCGCTTTTCTGAGCCGCCGTACTTCGAGGCCAAAATATCACTTTACACTACTTTTCCGAGGCGAAGTCGGGTCCAAAGACTGAAAACAACCCTCGAACATTGCTATTTGAACTATAAGCTGCAATTTAAAAATGGTTCATTTTTAGGCTTCAGTTCCCCTTTAACAACCTGGAGACACCTCATTAGTGACTCATTTGCTTCCTAATCAAAGGGGCCTCCACACCTTTAACCCAGGACAAGTGGCTCCAAACTTTTCCAGCTTTGGACCAATTCTCTTCTAAATAGAGATGTGTCATACGAGATAACTACGATTAAACTTTCTTTTTGGTAAGGGCTCGGAAAACAGCAGAGCAATAATCGACGGCGTGAGAAGGCACAAAGACTCAGCTGACTTTTTGTGGTACAAATAAATAGCGCTTAATATTAAGTTACAAACGAGAGGTTTTAATTAATTTGATTTAGTAAAGTTACTAATTTCAGTGAGTTATTCGGACGCTTAGATCGGAGCTGCAAGAAACTGACCGGGGAGAGGATTCACTGACACTGTTAAAACACTTTTCAGACGAGGTAGACAGCTCGAAGAATACAAACGTTATAAGCAAATGCAAGGGAACGTAAAAGAGGAATTAAGATGAGAGTTCTTCCCGAATCTCTTAGGCTCATCACCATTCCTTTACGTCCGTCTATGTCCGCGTGCGCCTAGCGAGAAGGCACACGACGTGCATTGTCATGGCGACAACATCGGCGACAACATCGGCGACAACTTGTTGAAAGCCGTCGCGCGGTGGGGGAAGGATGTCATTAAATTTAAACTTAAAGGATATTTTAATGTACAGCACACGAAGCATATAAACAACAGCCAGAAATAAATTTTTAAAAAAATAGGATTTATTCACCCCTTTCACGCATGGAGAAGAAATACGAACCCTATGAAGATTTGAGGAGCATGAAAAAGGTGATCTAGTTACCAATACATTTGCACACAACGTCTATCTACTAACTGATTGAAATTTCTACCCTACGGTGTTATCCAATGGTTTTCTAACCGGTGACGATAAATCAGCCTTTGTCATTGTAAACTAACCATGTCTTTATATTAAACGATGATTCGCTATGTTGTACCTAGTCAATTTACAAAAGAATTTCATAACGTTCATTTTTTTTTTCTGATCGCACGCTTCTATTTACACTTTTTTTTTCACTAGGTTTGCTTTACGTGAATATCTTCTAAATGAAAGAGAAGTCTTTGTCATAGTCATATCTGCAAAGGAAAAAAAAAACCCTTGATCATTAAAGGAAAGTTGGACACACTTGTCTGATATTGAATCAAACAAAGTTTATATTTACTCACGTTATTCCTGGAATTGAGGACCGGTAGTTACGAGACATGAACACATGTTGAAATGATCCCC